GTCTGGGATGCTCGGACTGTTATCTCCATGCCGTGAGTACGGTTTCGGGACTCTCTCTGCTCCAGGATCGTTAGCCAGGAACAGACTGAGCCTTGGTCGTTGGGTGGGGGGGCAGTATCACTGTGTATCACTCGTTTGTATATAGTATTATTTTCAATATTATTGTAGTTTAGTTATTAAATTGTTCTTATCTCAACCCACAAGTCCTTTTTTCCCTTTACCCCTTTAATTCTCTCCCCTATGCTCAAGGGGGTGGGGGGGGAGAGGTTGGGTGAGCGGGTGTGTGGTTTGGCCCCCAGCCAAACGCAAACCCATCACAAATACACAGCCCAATTTAATGAGTTAGTCATTGCACAGACACCCAGCAGAGACTGTCCTCTGTCACTAGGGACACACCAACACCATGTGGCCCTGTGCTGGGGAGCCGTCAGGGCTAGTTCCAGTCCCACAGCCCACCTGGGAACCGGGTGCACCGCTGCACCCAAACACGGCGTCCCGGTACTGAAAGCCAGCTCAGGGGCCTCGATGCAAAACAGTGTCATACAGGGCCTTTCCGAAAACCAGCCCCTGGTGGGAAATACAACTTTCTGGGAAGTAGCTCAGAGGGAAGAGAGCACGCTGGGGCACCTCTGCAAAACACAATGCAGTCTTAACTGGTAGGCAGGTTTCTCAGCAGTACATAATGCCAAGTAAAAGTAAAATAACCACGCATGTCTCACAGCTGATTTGCCACATTTCCTTATGTTTTCTTAGCTTGAATACATATTACTCAGTGTTGCCATTTTGTCACAATGACTATCAGCATAGGACACTCCTGTGTGTCTTCCTAGGGCTGCCCTCTGCCCATGGCATGTCAGCTGGAGCAAGGACAAGCAAATTCCCCTCTAGGCCAAAGGAAGAGGAGGAAGACAGGGAAGAGAAAAAAGGATGACTGGTAACAAACAAGGGGTAAAGGAGGAGCAAAAAGCAGAGCCAAAGAACAGGTATCAGCCCTACCAACTTCTCAAACCCATGCGATCACTGCCCACAGGTTAAACTTTAGTGTAGGAACCTCCATGCTGACTGCAAGAGCCACGATTAGCCTATCTCACTCCAAGTGTGGAGAAGCCCCACTCCAGCCAAGTGCAGGGAGGAGGCAGTTGTCTCAAGGTAGGAAATGAACAGTTTGCTGAGCTGTAAATGTCCTAAGATCAGAGCGGTAACCTAAGCCTGCAATGTAGTTGGGGAATGGACCACATTCCCATCTCTGTCTATGGCATCAACCAGTTTACTTCCATCTTTGGACTCGGTTTCTGTTTCCCATCTTGTACTGTCTTGCTTAAATCAAGGCTTGGAGTGACAACTGTCTTCTGTGTCCCCGCACACCCAGAGCACTGTTCAAACAGTGAGTTGCTCCTGTGATAGAAACTGCACAATCAGTCACTGTTAGTTCTTCACTTTCCAGCAGTGGGTCTCCCCTGACAACACCGGGGTCGGCTCACATCACTGGGTCTGGATCAGCAACGCCCAGCAGCCTGACCACAGATGTGATCAAGAAGAAAGGAAAACTTCTCCTGCACAAACTCACCAGCCACACCACAATACCAGAAGAGCCAAACTGCACATGTATAGGAGGCACAATGCTTCCCAGCTATGTGGGATTTATTGAATGTGTGCAAACCAACTCCTGAACATCCCCAAGAAGGCTCATCTGCCACGGACATTCCCCTCTGCCTCCCTGTGGCCCAAAGAAACCTGCTAGGACAGGGCTGCTGCTACATGGACAACATGTGCAGCTGAGGAATCAGACCTTCTTCCCCAAGGGCTCTTTGGAAGCAGATAGCAAGTATGGCACAGGCCAGATGAACTGTGGTGGGAGCAAACTCCTCTCTTATTACTGTCATTGCTCTCAGATTTTCTCCATTATATGATGGGGGAAAATGGCAGAGCCCATGAAAAAATGGTGACTTGGAGTAGGCTGCCAGCACAGCAACGCCTTTGAACTGCAAGTCTGAGGCAGGCAGGAGTAGGCCAAGGGCATACAGCTGTCCTCCAAGTCCCCATGATTCAGGATGGGCACCTTGGTTTAGATGCCATTAGTTACAGCAGCAATGACCTGCCTGTACTATAGATCTTGCTATAACTACAGACAATGAATCAGTGCAAAGGGGAATGAGGGCATGGCCTCGCAGTACTGGTTTTCAGAGGCACCATTAGCCACTTGCCCTGCAAAAGCCAACCAATTGTATTTTAATTCTTGAAATGCACTGCAGATGGCATGCTCCTTTGAAAGCACAAGAACTGTGTTAAATAAATTGTGCTAGTCATTGCAGGCAACAACAGCAATGGCTGCTGATGAGTCAGCCAGCCCAGCATCTACTCCAGTTCTTTGTTCTTCTGAAGTCCAATAAATAAAACTTGTTCCACTGCCACCATTTAGGGATTGTAATTTCCCTGCAGAAAATTTGCACCAATATTGCCTTCACTTTAGTCTTTTTCCTGTTTTTTTTTTACAGGGACATCTGAGCTGACACTGCACCACGAGCCCTGGTGCTGCAGGCAGAGCCCTGTGCTCATAGGAAGGAAGGCCTTTAGCAGGGCTGGTCAGGGTATTCCAGCTGAGCAACCTCACACCTCAGATGAGCTTTCAAACAACACTACAATGAAGAGCTAGAGAAATCTAGGGAGTGACAGCATGAATTGTGGGTGCTTGAGGGTCAAGGAAGAGAAAAAGGACTGTGCTATCCCACTGGCTTTCCAGTTTTTCTTGAGGAAATCACTAGTACCATGACAAGAGTAAATTACAAGCCCAGAGACCTGTCGCCCCAACAAACACCAGAAGAGGCAGGACCCTCTACTGAACTTTAGGCAATGTTTTGACTCTTCAGATAAGACTGTTTCACATGTCATTCATTCCCTGCTCCCTGACTCACAGTTTAATACAGCAAACAGCTTTACCCTTTCTGCCCAGAGCTCCATTCCAAATAGCTGTGGGCTCTAGGGAGGCCACTACATCTACACCAGCACAAACCTGGTGTAAGAGAAGGGAGAATCAAGCCCTTTGCCTTTAAAAGCTTAACACTGGCCTTCCTGATTTCCATGGCCAGTATTTTCCCCACTTAATCCTCTTCGTTGTAGTTCACAAAAGTAAAATAAACCCTCTGCAGAGGTAGTATCTCAGTTTGGCCATTATTTGTTAACACATCCACACAGTGCTAGATACTGTTATTAACCCAATAGACAATCTTTATTCTGCTATTTTTAAAAGAGGTAATAGCTGCAGCCTGCATTAAAAATACCTTTCACACTGTAAAAAACATACAACACACCACAGGCAGTGGAGGAAACACCACAGGCTACAACTTTTCTAGAACCACACACCAGTTTCCCTGATCATAATAACTCTTTTGAACTCTCACACAATCCAAGGATCTGCATACTGCTTCCAGTTCCCCTTCACAGAACACATGGTAATAACGGTGTAAAACAGGGTTGAGTTCTTGCGATTCCTTAGATCCACCTGGAAATGACACTGTATCAACACTTTCCCCTTTCTTTTTAGTGACACCTTTCAGGTGCCAAGGAACGAGCAAATCTTGAGAGTGAAAGGAGGTTCGGTTAGTGTGAACAGGCAGTCTGGAGTCTGCAACTGGCTTTGTATCACAGCCTTCATCCTTTGAGTCATTAAGGAGTCGGTCAGAACATGCTGAGTCTTGGCTGCTGCTATGAGGCATTTGATCACTAATTGTTCTCTGGGCCATGCCAGTACTGATTTCCTCCTTCTTGTCTTTACTACCATTCTTTTCCTTAAGGTATTTAGACTTCTGGTTTTTGTATTCTTGTTCCATTGCCCAGACATAAATGAGTGCCATCCCACCAGGTCTTAGAAGCCGGACTAGTTCACGGATAGTAGCCAGTCTCCTCTCCTATAAAGGAAACACAAAAGCGTGAAGCTAGTACATAAACAGAGACAGGAGATGGAATAACAGCAATTCCTCCTTATGTCCCCAAGATACAATAAAATCAGAGGAAATTTTTACACTATTTATTTTCATTCATAATATAGACCATCACTATGTGCAAGCCAGGACATTTTCCTGAACGCAATTCTCTTTCCATTTGAAAACAGTGCTGTGCTGAGCACTGTGTTCTTGGACACATCAGCTCAGCTGGAAGTGACACGCACCTCTTCAAGAAGGATCAGATTCAGATCTACCACACCTGATGATACACATTCTAAGTTTGCAGCTGAAGGGTCAGATTTACATCTTAAACACAGGTCCTCTGATCAGCCAAAGAAAGATACAGTAGCCCTCTCCCAAAGAGACTTCTTCCTACTTTTTTATATTGCATTTGGAAACATTCACTGTATTTCTGGTATAGACAGACCACTGAGCCTCACCTCAGATTATGGCTCCATGATCTAAAAATCTGTTACAATTGCACAGATTCTGCCAGAGGCTTACACAGCCCAAGAATATGGCAGGCGAGTGAGTAGCATCCCTGCTGTCTTTTGCAGATGGACAATGAAGGCACAAAGAAAAAAAAAAAAAAAAAAAAAAAAAAACACAACACCAAAAACCATAAAATCTGCTCAAGATTTGAGATGGTAACTAACATATCTCTTGACTCCAAAGCAGGAGCCCCCTTCTCTGGTGTCATTAATTGTAAGCAGATGAAAAAAGAAATGCCAACACCTAGATCAAAGTGCCAGAAGGAGCAAGAGCACCTGACAAGCAGAGGGAGAATGTGAACGGAAAGTCTAAGATACAGCAGCAGCAGCACAACTCTGCTCTGACCACTGCTTACACCAAGTGCAAACCTTCAATTTCCCTCCACTTTGTTCTTCCCTTTTGTTTCCATGAGCCCAAACTAACAAGCTTTTTTATAACATTAGTAGCTCTGCGCAGCAATACAACAGTAGAGTGGAACGCAGAGAGGGGTGACTTACCGCTGTTGAGAAATGGTGGATTACAGCAATAGAGATGCAGGCGTCACAAGAACCACTGCGGATTGGCACTGACAAGGCATCACAGACAAAAGCATGGAAATTTTTTTCTCCACAAATATCCACCAGGTTTTTGCTGCGATCACAGCCAACCTATAACAGAAAGTGTTTCATTAAGCTTTTCATAAGAGGATAATTACAAGACTGGAAAATGATTTTCACTTGATGCTTACAGTAATAGAGTCATCACAGTCTCCTACTGAGGTAACACATTTTAGTTTAAAATAAAAACTGGAATGTATATGAGAAAATAGCCTTAAGCAAGAGGAATATATGGTTCCCAGGTACAGACAAAAGGGAAAAAAAACAACTGATGCTTACTTAAAGATGGCAGACTGGATATGAGACAGCTCATATAGCACCCTCATTTTCAAACAGCTTAAGACACAACAGGTTTCTACCTAACTTCTCAAAATTGGCTCTTAAGTTGTCTTGAAACCAGCAAAACAAGAGGTAACCTAACCTAACCTTAGTATTTTCTTTTCCTTTCAATTGCTATTTGTAATCTGACAACATCTGAAGCAGCCAAATACTGAACTCACAAAAGCTGAATCTACAAGTGTAAACAACAATCTGGTAGCCTTGGTGGTATCACTGAAGTATGTCAGACAGCTTCACTCATCACCCAGGTTTTGTCTTTTCAGTGTAAGTATGGAAGAGCTCAGGTACAGTCCTCTTCACTCTCATTATCACAATCCACAAAAAATTAAGCACAACAACATAATTTTCCAAGGTTCTCTACAGTCCAAATGAAGTGAGCCCTAGGAACCATTTCAGGACACCTCATAAATGTTTATTTTTTCCCCCCTTTGAACCTTGCCCACTGCTCAGGTCAAAGATCACAGAATCATAGAATTGTTTGAGATGGAAGGGACCATGGAGGTCACCTAGTCCAAGCCCCTGCAGTAAGCAGGGACATCTTCCACTAGATCAGGTTGCCCAGAGCCCCATCCAACCTGACCTTGAATGCTTCCAGGGATGGGGCATCTACCACCTCCCTTAGCAACCTGTTCCAGTTTCACCACCCTAAGTGTAATAAATTTTTTCCAAAGATGGTAAGGAAAAAGCATCTAGAAGAGGTTTGTTATGTACCTGCATACAAACAATAAATACAAACTGATCAAGACCCTTGTGAAAGAAAAAAATGCAGCAAGGCATGCACCACCCCCATTTTCATGCCTGTCGCACACACTGAATACTCAAACCAAAGCCCTGCTACCAAGTCATGTATCAAACTCAGCTTGCATGAGAATATAAGATTTATTTTTTTTTCCAATGATCAGCAACAAGCAGATAGCAGAGAACAGATTCAGCATCCTAAATAATTACTGCTGACAGTGTTTACTGCATTTGACATAGAAAGAATACTAAACCATCCTTGATGCAAGAAGAATAGCAAACAACTTGCTCTGGTTAACCAATCCAGCAAAGACAACAGTACTGGTAAAATTAAAAATATCTTTTGCAATAATTAATTAAAATATATTTATTTTCCCTCATAACTTTTCATTTTATTGGTTGAAATCATTTTAGCTTTCAGTCTACCATCACAGTTTTGAAGAAAACCTGGATTCTGTTCCAGTTGTATGTCCTGAAAGCTTCCAGGTGAGCTGCCTTTCATCAGGTCTCTGACTTTTGGTCCAGAGTAAATAAACCATTGTGAAAATGCCAACCTGAAAACCCAAGATAATCCTCCAATTATCTCTAAACAGACCTAGAAAGATCAATCCTAGCATTACGTTCTTCCCATTTATTCCTTGGCCTCATCTCTGTGTTTACTGAAGCACTGAGCGAATAGTGTTATTTATGAATAAAAAAAAAAGGAAACCCTTGTTTACTTGGAAGTAAACATAAAACCCTATAATTTCACACTGGAAGCCAACTGAAGCGTCTTTAAATTACTCTCATCATGGAATGGATTTAGCTGACAACCTTCATGTTAGAGATTCCACGCCTCATTACCAGTGCCTTCAACTACTTTTGCAATTAAGACATTAGCATGCAATATTTAATAAAACTCAAAGGACCAAATTCACTGCTGGCAGGAGGTGGAAGAACACTCGCAACTTCCACTGACAACAAGCTTTCCCAGAAAGAATCACTTTGGCCTTGCACATCTATAGTAAAAATGGGCTATATAATGGAACTCAATCCTCCCCTCCCAAAATGACCTTGAAAAGGACTACGCTGTATGCTGATGAAATCCAATGAACTGAGATGAGAACAAAGGCATGACTACCAGAATGTGAAGTCCTCATTTGCATCTAAATTATATCAAATAATTACAAAGTCAGGCTTACTTATATTGTCATACTTATTAAAGTGAATCTACATCCACAACAAAAAGATTCTGTTTTGCAGTGAAAATTGAGACCTTGAAATGGATCACTTTGAATGCACAGCTGCTCTAAAGTAGGTATATTAGGCTAAAACTTTATGTGGTTTTAAATGTAAACATTGTAATAGGTGCTATACATGTATGCATAAATGCTGAACACAGGGAGTCACCACAGACATCCCTGGTGCTGGAGCTAGGCAAATTTAGCATCCTTGCTAGAATTACCTCTGCGTGATATTTTAAAAGAATTATAATCACAACATTCCTGCATTTTCTAGATTACAAGAAACACACATTCCAAAATATAGTGGTTTCAGTTGCTTAGAAAACAATAAGCTAGGAAAAAGCAGCTAACATCAGTGGTGCAATGCTACCTTACAGGTAAAAAATAACCTATGATTTTTTTGAGTACAGAAAACATTTGCAGCAAGGGGCAGAGACCCCAAACACAACTTTTCCCAATTCTGTTACTATCCGATTTCCACATTCTGAAGCATGCAGAAGCTTTAATGGGATGAAGCATCATTTACACGAAAGAGTTCAAATGAGTGTTTAAATTTAGAACAAGTTTATTTTTCTATCTCTAACTAAACATGTAATCAAAACATCTTCAAAAAAATCTCAAAATACAACTGGAATGCTTTAATTTTTACCAGTTCATATCTCTTAATTTTGATGCTCAGCACAGGATACTGTCCTTGCTGACATCTCTTCTGGAAGAGTGGAGAAAGGTAGAAGAATTACTATTAGTACAGTGTTCAATACCAAAAGAACCTAGTACATCCCTTGGTGAGCCATGTTGTATACATTTAAGGTTAGCTCTTTCTTATTATCTCTGAGTCTTTTCAGTCGTTTCTTATACCTGTTCTCCCAGTTTTCCTAATCAAGCTCAAGCACCCCAGTTTCTCCTATACATCTCAAATAGCATGGCTGACTTTTCAGCTGAATCCACCTCTTAGCGAGTCCATCTCTCACCTACTTGTTCTACACCTTTCAGTATCTCCCTAAAAGAGGTCAGTTTCTCACGTTTCTTGGATTTTTATTCCTGGCAGCCATTCCCACATTCCTGACTTTTTGGTGTCCACCCCTCCACTCCTCTCTTTACTGCTTTTTGTGACGTGGATAATGGCTCACAGGAGCTCCAGAGTGGCCACTGACACCTATTTATTCAGGCTCAGAATCCATTTAGATTTTTTACAGGGATTTCAGGCACTGATTTTCATTATGTCTACATAAACACTAACTGCATACAACTCTCATTTTAAGCCAGGAAATCTGTATTAGTATGCAGGCCTCTGACCCCAGCAAACACAAAAAAAGAAGCCAAAGTGTGTTATCATTGTGGCATACAGCACCCTCTCTTCAGGGCACACTGGGTAACACAAACCTTTAGACTAATGAACAAATTAGCAAAAAAGACCAAGATAAAAGAGGGTAAGGGAAGGGAGAAACAAATGTAACACCTGGGATTTGTCTGAGTTTACAGGAACTCTGTACTGGTTTCCTGGGATGAGGATAACACAGGCAGAGATCCCATCCTGATCCTTCATGTTCCCAGACATCTCCACCTCCACCATTTCAGCCAGCAGAAGCTAAACTAAGTTTTATAAAAGCCACTTAATGCAGTGGTTTGGAATAGACAGGTAAAGACAAGTCAATGTTGCCAACCATTATATATTTTCTTTCTATGTTATTTCATTATAACTAACTCTACCTGGTAGAATTAGTTAATTTAAGTATCTGAAAACTTGATTGATTCAGCACATTAGAAACTGATGAAGAAAACTACATCTAATTCTGAAATCCAGCCGCCAAATGGAATTATGTGGCTCCCCAGAGAAACACCTCAGCTATAACTAATAGCATGAGAGCCTCAAGAAACCAAATTACACTGTAGCAAACACAAGTAGAAAAAGAGACACCAGCACAGCCACAGCTAGATAGACAAATCTCCTTGCTCCAGTTGGTCTGAGTCAGGCTTTTAGCATTCCTTTCACACAGTGTTTTGGTCTTCCATTGCGTACAGCCAGGGTGTCTGTGGAAACAAAGTGCCATGACTAAAACATGAAGCTCATTTCTCAACGACAAAGCATCAGAACCACGCTGAGCAGTTCAGCATTCATTCTGGTTTTGCGCTGCTGTTGCCCAGTTCCTTCTGAGATCTCTTCATCCCAGATCTCCCATCATTTTAATGACTTCTATTCACTGAGAGAAAAGGGCAGGAAAGGTTCCTCTGCCTCACCCTCCTATCACTAAAATACAGTGACCCAGCTTCAAATACACTTTTGCAAGTTAGTTTTGTGCTTCCTGAGTTTACCCACTATTAAGTCCTTCGGATAGCAATCTGTGCTCAATCAAAAAGGACCCAGTGTAACTAAAACCCACCCATCACTATACAACCACACCACAGCAAAACTTCACCCTCTCTCCTCCCCCACACCCTGGGAAAATGAAACTTTTATGCAGTTCTATCAGATCCCAGCTTTGGACAGTAATGCAGAAAATAAAGAAGTGCACATCTCAGAGTAAAAGGTGTCTTACAAGGTCATGTGAAATACAAGCAATATTACTGATTAGCTTTGAATGACATGCATTACAGAAATAGGAATGTCTGTATTAAAGCAAAGCATTTGGGCTCCTACACTGCCATCATTTTTCTTCCTAACATCTGTATTCTGTCAAGGAGAGTAATTTCTTTATATATAAAGAAAAAATATCTACCCAATGGCATTTTCAGTTGTGTGTTACTGCATTTCCCACCAGTTTATAAGTTCAATTTAAACCGTAAACCACAAAATACAAAGGCTTCAGTGTCTTTCACTCACACCCTAGCCCCGTGAGGATGCTGAATTTCCTGTGGGGATTTACACATCACCATGCCTGCCTGAACACTGGAAACTGGGAGACAGAGCTAAAGCTCATAAAAATTGATGAGATACATTGCAATGATGTCAGATGGCTCTGGAATGAAACCCTTGTGCTGATGGGGGGGATGGGTAACACTGAAACAGCATTCTGTAAAAATAAAAGCCCTGCTTAGAGATGTGAATATTAAGCTGGAAAGCACTTAAATGTAAACTGTTAACATAATTCCCCCAAATGCAGCTGGGTGGGGAGGGGACTGTGCAAAAAATAAATAAATAAATAAATAAATAAGACAAACACCACACACAGAAACACCTAAACCCACTTCTCTCTTTTGCATTCATTCAAACAATAAAAAAGCTAGGCAAGACAGAAAAAGTCATCTGAAACTTTAGTAAATTCAATCTTTCTCCAGTCTTTGTCCTCCTAACTACATCAGACTTGGATTCCATCTCTTGCTCAAACATTCTTAATCTGAATTTGTCATTAAATTGGCTGCTCCTTCACTGTATCAGAATAATGCAGCCATTACAGCACTGTCATTTTCATTGAGCACAGCTGGACTCATCTGCATTTCACTGTCACACAACCATACTCAAGTAGATAAGGCTATCCAAATCATCCAAAGACACTGAAGCAAGTACAATAGCACAGGCCACAGTGGAGATGTTTTCAGACAGTCCCTGAAGATTAAAACCATCAAGAGAGCTACTTAGCTTTGATCTACCATTAGCACTGCTACTTAAAGTATTCTATCTAAAAACGTACAGGAACCTTTAGAGGACATTGCTTGCCTTCAAAAAGTGCTCGCCTCAGGTTTTCAGTATTTCTGAGTCAAAACACAACAAGGTACATGGCTGTACACACAGTGCTCTACCCAACCCCTAAATAACTCCTAATTTCACAGCATTGCTTTATTGCTTCTTTACCAACAGGACCTAGGCTAAGAATGCCAGTGCACTGCGCATAAAAACTTACCAAGAGCCACAGCAATTGCTGCAAAGGAAAGGCTGCAGCAATTTATTTTCTGCCTGGATTTTATGCCCCCAAGTCAAGAGGGATAAGTGAGAGAGGAAACTGATGCCCTGCATCTAGAGAACATTCTCCTTATCCCAACGTTGCACCTGATACACAAAGCATATTCTTTAACCCCTCCCTCTTGGATCCATGCCCAACCCCTGGTAAATGGAAGTAACACAATATGAGAAACAGGACCGTAAATCAGCCCTTTCTGATGAGCTCAAATAAGAACCCAGAAGGACAACAAAAAGTGGAAAAGACTGCTCCTTTCTCCCCTAGAGAAAAAGAACAATTGAAAAGGCTGACTCATGCAACACAATCACCATCTCAAGGAGATGGGCTACCAGTAGTAATATTGATATATCACGAACACTTGTTCTACAGTACTTCCTATAGAACAGTATGACAAGGGAATAGAGGTAGAAGTCCCATTAAGGAATAAACGAGTACCCATTTCTAATAAATCAGAATCTACAAAATAAAGAACTGACATCAATCACTTCCACAGTCACTGAAATAGCAAAGTATTTAAAGTAGTACCTTGCTTCAAATAATAGCCATTACCAGTTGCTTTAGAGGAAGATGCACCAAAAAAAAAAAAAAAAATCATCAGGACAGTTCATTCTCTAAAAAGCTGACCATAAGAAAAAATGTCTTGCTAAGTCCTGTCTACTGGCAGTTTCCTTCAGGTCAAAGAAAGAGGGTTTGTATTACCTACAAACAAATTGATCTTATGTCTCAGAAGAATTTGACCAAATCCCTGTAACTGCTGCTCAGTGCTTGGCCTTCTGGCATTTTGTGACAGTAAATTCCATCCAATAAATGGCACCAGAGGTGCCTGAAGTATTTTGTCTTCTCAGCAGAAAACAGATTGCTGCAGTTTAACCTGCTTCCAAACCATCAGGTCCCCTTGGATCATCTCACTGTCACCACTGGCAGCAACCACTCATATCCATGCCAGGTGATCTAAGTGACACCCACTGATAACCCTTCATCGGCACTGAATGACATCCAACAGTTCTACCTTCCTTTGTGTCCAAACCTGTGTAACACCCCACTGCTCCTCTCACCTACAATAATTTAGTTCTTAGTCTTCGAGATACCTTGTCAGAAGTTAAAAAAAAAATATCTGTGAACATGGTATACACCATTTTTTCCTCAACCACACTTTGGCTGACATATAAAAATAAATATAGTAGAAAGAAGGAATCACATCGATTCTCCTGAGACTCCATGCTGGCTTGCAGATGAAAATAAGCAAATGCAAAATCTACAGTCTATCTCCAACCAAGAACTAGCTGTCACCAGTAGAAAATAAAACGTTAAGGGAGGTCAACCAAATTAAGCAATTCCCAGATTCTGTTTTTCAGCTGTATCAACTGTTTCTTTAAAAGTTCCCTCCCTTTCACTGCTATTTTTCACGTTTTGGATTTCTCGTGCAGGCACATATGAAATGAGCTAACTCATAAAGTAACAGAGGAGAGGGGTTGGCTTTCATTTGACTGCCAGTAGTTGGTTAACTGTGGACTCCAGAAAACAGACTCGTGCTGGTGACTTCTCAACACAGCATCTTGCATAGATTTGGCCTTAAAAGCCTTCCACAAAACTACACAACAGCAATTTACCAAATTCATTCTAGGACCAGGTGACTTTCATGGAACTCTGATAAACTTTTCTCCTCTCTAGTTAGGTTTGCTGATTTTTCTTACAGGAGTCAGGAGTGAAAGACTGAAATGTACTAACATTAAAAATTATTTTCAGGTCACAGCAGTCAGGCACAAACACGCCTACCTATAAATTAGTTGATTTTGTTCTAGCTTACAGGAACAGTAATGGAAATAAATCGATTACAAATAGAGACAGGGCTGTAAATGACAACTTATGTTTCATAGCTGAATATAAATAGCAGGACAAACTCCTGAAACAGACAAACAAGTCTGACTTTTATTATTAATAATGAATGTTTTGCCTTACATAAGAGTTTTCAAACCTGATGGACTTCAAAGCATTTCACAGTACAAACACATGAAAGAATCATACATTTCTGGAACAGGGGAGAGCAGATAGAATAATGCACACCTCTCAGAAAGATTTCTTCTGCATAAAAACAACAGGAAGTTTGACCCCTGCAAAAAAGTCTCTGAAATACTTGCAATAAAAACTATCTCTTGGTTCATATCTGTATGTGCTTGATGTCTCCTGAATAGGAAGAGAGTGAAGTAAAGCTAAGTACAGACTGTGAGACAGGGAAGGTGATGAGAACATCAGCAAGAATGATGTCAGAACTGTCTAAAAGTGAAGGAAAGGGAGTGAGAGAAAGGCCAGAAATCTGTGCCTAAGTTGAGACTCCCCCATGAATTTTATATTAGCATATTTACTGGGCCTATGCAGAGTCAGAGGTGGGACAGCCAAGCATGACATCATTCACAAATGAGCCACACCACCAGGGCAAAAGGAACAGAACAGGCTACATGAAAAGTAGTGCTGACCATGGAGATTTCAAGGACACGTACATTGCATTCCCGACCCACCAGCTAACTGAAAAGTTTGTTGGAAGCATTCAAACTGCCCAACCTTTTTCCCTTTTAATACGCTTATTCAACAACAACAATAAAAAAGGCTAAAACGTTACGATTTTTCAATCCACTCCACCCACTACTATTTTTTTATGAATCTATTTTGACTTGCAAAGCAAAAGTGGCTTTGAAAGAAGAAAAGGGTAACACATAGTGACTAGATGTGGAAACCTAACACAGTTGGTACTTGATCTTGGATCAGGAAACAGCTTTCTGTTCTTGGCACTCTTCCCACAATTGAAGCTCCAATGTGCTACAACTGCCCAATGGAACAAACACTAGTACCAGTGAAAACAAATGACAGTGGCTACTACTTACCATATACAAATCCTCATTGATGCCTAGATATTTCCCATTACCACAACCAACATCAGCCACTATTGACCCTTTTGGTAGGGACCTGAGAAACTCTACAATTTGGGGCCATGGGCTATGCCTGGTACTGCTGAAGTGTCTGGCAATGTCTTCGTACACCTTGTGTACATATTCTTGCTCCAGCTTTGAGGCCTCCATCTCATCCTGGGGAAATGAAGGTTGTACTTGTCTTCGCTGTTCTTTCTGGCTGTCACAGACAGATGGGTAAACTAGACATAGCAACATATACACATAAAAAAATTTAAGTAATCCCTTGGTGGTTAAACTTATCTAGCAAAATAAAATCTAAACTGAACTATTACAATGCAAAAATGCTTAATTCCTCCTTTGCCTTTTAAAAACTGAAATGCAGATCAAACTGCAGAAGTGTTTGATGACGTTAAAACAAGCAACCTGCCCACATGTACCAGACACCATGTGTAGTGATCATTCATCCTGCTGTGTTAATGAGGTTTATGTTTTCAAAACTGAGACGGTGTCCTAATATCAAAGATCATGACATCATTGCAATTCAGCCTCTGAAATTCTGCTCAGAGAGCACAAATGGACTTCAAGTCCATGTAATCATTGAGCTACCTATTATCTCTACTGGCCTAAGGCACTTGCATGGCTCTATTACTGCAAATCTGACTGCTTCTCCTTCTCTAATGTACTTAATTGTTACAAAATTGCAGTCTCATTCATATAAAAAACATTATTCTGGCACTTGAGGTCCCAATGAAATGTAAGATTTCTGGAGCAAGCCAAATGCCTTCCTGCATAGAGAAACTCCAGCAACCACACAGATGCAACCAATTCAAGCCTGACCCTGAGCCATTCAGGAATGGCTACCACAGCTGCCAAAACTACCCAAAGCAATAAACCGGTTTGCTCAAAAAAAAACCAAAACAAACAAACAAAAAAAAAAACTAACTTGAAGATCACCTCAAGACACTTACTGCAATTGCAAGGGCTTCTCCTCACTTTCCTGAATGTAAATGACGTCCTTGTTTCCCTTCGATTTAGTGTTAAATCTCCAGCGTCAGCAGTGATTGCTCCAGCATTTTGCCCAAGTTCAGATGTGTGAATGACATCATATTTTCTGGGTGTAATCCTGAAACAAAGTAATAGAAAATAAAAGAATAACTCAATTTGCATCAGAAAAAAACTAGTCCATCTTTATAAGAAGGTAATTCTTAAATACTGTGACAAGTGTGATTACAATATGCTATTTAACATACTGCTGCTTCTGTTTTCAACTTACTTGATTTCAGAAAAAAAAAGAGGAGCTAACACAAGCTAATGATGTTAATTAAAGTGTTATTTAATTGCAAGTAATTACATGTCCTTTCCCTCTCTTCCTTTCCTCCCATAAAGTTTGTTTATTTTCTAGGGCTTATTTTATTTAATGTATTTATTTGATATTTAAAAATAGAGTTGTTAAAGATAAAACACACTACTAAAAATGGTGACGGTGGGTATAAAAGCATAGAGTTGGCTGAGCTCTACATTAGCAGACTGAATGGGCCTCTCCAATTAATTCTGCTTTGCAACAAAATTGCTTTTCCATTTACTGACAACAGAAGATACAAAGAACGTAGCACTTGGGAGATTTGCTAAAATGCCTAAAGGGAGAAACTCTGCTGTAGATTGTTCTTGTCCAAAATCTATCCATCAAGCAAACTGGGAGCAGAGCTTCTTAAGCTACCTCTGGATTTGGCATGGATCTTAACGGAACACAAAAACATTTTTGCAAGGACAAAATTCTCAATTAAAGTGATTTGGAACTTTCTTGGGGTGACAGAAGTTTCAAATAATTTTATGAAGAGGTTTACATTATGAAAAAGTACCCAAACTGTGAACTTTTAATAGGTCTACAAATGGATCTCTCTCAAAGTTGAGAAGCGGGAAACGAGAAAGTAAAACGCAAAACACAACATGAGAGAAGAGAAACAGCTGCACCCACATGTCATTTCCCATCACTTGCACATGGGAAAAAATACTCTAGGAACAAAATGTAAACTCTTCAGGGAAATAGCTTAAAACTTCAAAGCTGTTATTTTCACACTGAAACGCCTCCTGAACTTAGTCATCAAGGAGATTAATGTGGAAATTTCCTTAGAAACAAAAAAAAAAACCCAATACAACAGCTTCTCTAAGGAATTGGCCTCTTGGTGAATCCCCTTCAGAGCTGCTGACTTCTAAGTACTTGACTCCAGCAGGACAAACTCTCAGTGTAAAACTGACTTCTGTACTGGCTAGCTGAGTTTAATCCTCATAGGCTGAGCCAAAAGCAGGGGAAAAAAGTGCCTTACATCTTTCAATAAAGCAGAGCATTCAGTCTCATCTCAAATTTCTACTGGAACTTTTGCAGGTCAAATGACACTGTTGACCAGTGCCTGTACTTAACCAAGAAGAATGATCCAAATGCCAAGAAGGCAGCCTGCAGCCTGATCAGCATTCCCACACTTTGCTGTATGCCATCTTTCCTATCACAGGGAAGCTGATCTCTAATGGAGTCACAGAGAAAAAGAGTGCACATCCTTTCTGTAGG